TGCGCATCTCGGATGACGATTACATGTATTAACACGCGTAAAATTCCTTATTGTCAGAAAAAGAAATTAGTGTAAAAACAGTTCCACACACATACCACGCGAAAAATTAATTTACGAAAATGGGAATCCAAATAATGATACAGAGCATCGAGTCATCGATTCTTCTGATGTGCTTTATCGGACTTTGTCCGTGCATGAAATGCATTACAAATAAATACCAATACAAAAAACATGATAACTCACATGAAAGTTGCCGAAGAACTACGTAACTGTTTCTTGATCTTTTCCTGAACACGACGCCTTTTTGTTGCTGGCTCATCGCTAACAAATACCCTATCATTTAACAGACCCACTATTACCTCTAAATAAAACCTTCACATAATCGTCAATAGCTTCTTCGATAAGTGAGATGCGGTAATCAGTTTTAGTGATAGCATAAATACCTTCGGTGCTATGTAGGATGAATACCACTCGGTTGCTAGATACCAAGAGATGGATTGCAAAATGTTGCGATCAGAAGAGTCGAAGACTCGGCCTTTAGCTGACTCACGCCGATGTTCTGCATCATCACATGGTAAAAATTCAGATACTACGTAAGTAACCTGTTGTAACGATATCATAGACGTAATCATAGTCGACGTCGAATCGATACTCACATCGCACGAACTTTTACATTGTATTAGATTTTGACTGATGGTAGATTTTGTTTGGCTTCAGTTATACATATTATTTCCTCTAATAAGTCATCGATTATTTTTTTGATCGCATAGTCTACACGGCTGGCGCTTTCGATGCCAAATGGTTAACCCTTTGAGAATACTGACTGACGTATGCAACTGTATTCACAGCGCATAGTCTTACTACGTATTATCAACGACTAGTCCCATATTTTCTAACCTGCGATGTATGTCGTCAATGCAAAGCTTGAACGCTGGACTATTTTCATCGATTTCATGGTGACTAAAGCAATGAACAGGTGAGTATACTATAACAGACATATTATTGTAACGCCAATCACTTTTACCAGAGAATGATCGGAATGTTCCCATTGCGAGATCGCTTACCTGGTTTGAACTGCGGAATTTTTGTTATGCTATCACCTTTAATACGCTATATTACTTAGACTGCGAAGTGAGGAAAATGAACGTTTTTTTGCTTAACCTGTTTTGCGAATCTTGTTGTTGGTCCTCTCGCTAATCTATCTTGCATAAATTTTTTCTCGGTCATATCAAGGAAATCAGCACCAGTAATCTCCTCACGGAGAACATCGTAATGCTTTTTTTCGAGCTTTAAATTTTGTTATTCCAAGAAAACGATAAATGCTTTCTGTGAACTGCGGACATGGTAGACATGACTACGTATGTACATACGTAGGTTAAACAACGAATCAAATGTTACATACGTACGTACGTATGTACAGTCGCCGCAAAAAGTAACCGAAATTTAAACGTGTTTTTCTCCACTTTTTTTATTTTTTATACACAACATTTCTTTTTGTTTTTGTTTTTATAACTTTTGCCTACATTATACAATAATTATTGTTATGTAAAATATGCCACCCGTCCGAACCCAGTTAACTGATATAGATAAAGGCAAAATACTTACTTTTATGGAATATATGAATGCTGAAGAAATTGCAAGAAATATGGGGCGGGACCCCACCACCATACGACGGTTTATT